TAATTAAGAAAAAAATCCATGAAGTTTTAATTAAACCAAATCTATATTACAAACTATCACATTCTCTTTGACATAGTATATATTTGATAACTACAACTAGAAAGTCATAATTTTTTATTAAGAAAATTAATTACAACCCGATTGATTATATTTGATTTTAATATCTTATACTTAAAAATATGCTTTACGTGCTTCCTTAGACATAAAATTTTTTATCTGCCACTATACATTGGTATCATATTGAAAAATGAAAGATTAATTTTAACTTAATTAATTTGATCCTCATATACCATAAGGAAAATACACCACAAAAATTAAATGGAGAAATAGGTTCTCCATTCAATTTTGTATTTAAAAAATTGAACACTTTTATAAATACACACACATACGTATGAAAAAACTTATATATTTATAATTTATTTTATAGTCTCATGAATTTAATTCTTACCAGAAAAAGTGTTACATCTCATCAACATATTATATATATGTAATTTAAAACTATTCATTATATGTTTTTTAGTACAAATTGAGGTCTCGATCAGAGGTAGGTGTCAATTATCTCTGAGCTAAGCTCGTGTCGGTGAAACTACTCATTATATTATATGTTATTGTGGGGGTATAAATTAATTTTAATATATAATTGGCTTAATAATTATGGAAACAATGTATGAATTAAAAAAGTAATTTTTTTTTCTGTTGCAATTTGATATAGTGGCCAAGAATATTAAAAGCTTCATGTAAATTAATTTCAATGGTACGGCGGCAGATGATTGGAGAAAAATGATTGAACATTGGCACGACCAAGTTCATTGTATGACAAAATTTGATTTATAAAATAAGGTTGTCTAAAACATCCATCAATGTCCTCCTATTCTTTTGACTTTATACATTATATTAAGATTATTAAACTTCGTGAATGATTTTTTAAATCAATATTCTCTATTTTTAGGAACATGGATTCTTGAAGTATTTTAAAATTAAGTAGGGGGAGGGGGAAGAAAATAATCCATCAATAAATACATCCAATTATTTCTTATTTTTTGTTTTTTGTTTCTATTTTATGGTGTTGGTTCTCCCCTTTTGAATGAATTAAAATAAAACTGCTTTGGTAAACTTTTTTTTTTTTCATTATACAAAAAAAAGAAACTTATTTGATAAGTCATTTCTTATTTCTCGTTCTTTAAAATGTTAAATTAAAAAAGTAAATATTTTTTAATTAAATATTCAAATTTATTTATATTATATTTACTTTTTTAATATTTATTATGCGTTAATAATAATAAAATAATATTTTTTATTTATGTTTTAGAAAAAAAATTAAATAAACGAAAAATAAGAAACAAGAAGTTTAAAAAATTTGAATATAATTTTGGAAACGTTTCTTAAAAAATAGAATCGTGAGAAACAAAAATAGTTACCAAGGACTTATGTTTCTCAAAATTGAAAATAAGAAACGAACCACAAAAATAGAAATAGAAACATTACTGAACTTCGCATTTTAAGATAATAATGGTGAGAAATCTATCTTAAGAGAGGAACATGGATGATTAAGACTTTGCTTGTGGTTGACCTTTATTCAAAGTCAAGAGGGAGAGTTTTTTGGGCTCTACCCTACTACTTTAAAGTCAATATGATCAAGCCCATTGTTCTAAACGTCGTTCGACGTGTCGAAAGGTTCGACATCGACATGAGGATAAAAAATTGTTTATCTCCTTTGTCATCGATATGTTAAAGATATGTCGAGGATATGTCGACCAAATATCGACCTTCTTCTATATTATTTTTTATTTTTTTTATTTTTAAATTATAGTCTAGAAATTTGATTTTCTTTTTAAGTAATTTGGAAAGATAGACATTCAGATATTTCAGTTAAATAATTTGAAAAAATATATCCACCACCAGCAAGAAAAAAATGGAATTGATTTTATTTGGGTGAGATAATCTAGGAATTGATATTTTTTTTTCTAAATAATTTGAAACCCATTTGTTTTGTTTTGTTTTTTTACTAAGGTTTGTTTCCATTTCAACTAGTTGATTAGTTAGACTTTTACCTTTATTTTCCATTTTTTATTTTCCTTATCATTTTGTTTTCCTACTCTTTTCAAGTAATTTTATATGTTTATTCATCTTTTCTTGAATGCAAAAAAAAAGTTATATATATTTGGATTTGTTCATCTCTTGTGAAAACACTAAGAATGGCAAACGTGGTTATAAATAATTGAACCGAACAAATTAAATCTTATCTAATAATGAGGTTTGACCATTCAAATTTGAGATTTTATTCCTAAGCTTTATGTATGTTTATTTGAATTAAAAGAAAAGATAACCTTTTTGGTATTTATAAATTATATCACCATAATATTTGTATATAATAAATTTTATTTTTCAAAATTTCCACGATTATTTCCCCTTTTATATCTATTGATATTTCAATTCAATTATGTAACTAAATACTTGATTAAATTATAAATTATCGATAAAACATAATCGGAGCAGGAATAACTTTAATTTACTGATTCAAATAATTTTCATGTACGTATATATGATTTTGTTCCAACGTTCAACGATATTTTCATAAGTATATTGCTTATGTAGTTAGATATGATGGTCAAAAGTGATCGATTAAGGGCTAGTTAAGCTACAATTAAAGTCTTATCTACTGATGTAAAAAATTTGCATCAATATCCATAATTTTCATAGTTTTTCCTGAGATATCCGTCGATATCGATATGTCCGTAAAATCGAGAGCTCGACATTTCCATCAATATTAATATCTCAAACCTTGGTGATACCACAAGGCCGCATGTCCTTGCCACTGCATCATCCCATAGAACTGGAAAAGTTTGAATTATTGTCAAACTAGTCCCTATAAATGAAAAGAACTTGAGTTCAACTTTACGCTAGTGTGATACATTTGGTCGATGCAAACTCTAATTATTAAAACGGCTCTAGCACTTAAGGTAACACTCACATAGCTCATATCATATCCTCGCATGTTCTAATAACATAGAGGGCAACTAAGAATATACTATTGGGAAATTAACCTATAATTTCTCCTTCCACATGATAAATATCCAAATACAACCACAATATACAAAAACTGTAAAGAAGAAGAAAACTACACAACCAATTATACTCGTTCACTAAGGGCTACGTCCAGTCTTCCACTCAGATGTGGGTAATTCACTAATAATTGTTAATGATTGGATATAATAACACTCTCCAAAATATCCCCTAGAGATCTCAACAAAAGCTTCATAGCTTCTAAGTATTTTAACACAATTAATACTTAGAAATAGGAATGAAAACTCACAAGAATCAAGATACAATTACCCCAATAATGTCGATCTTGATTAACCCCAATGTATCTACCAATGCTCGAGTCGCTGCCATTGATTAGCTGCCAAAACTCTCTGAAAATCGGCTGCTAAAAATCCCTCTTTCGACCGGTAAACCCTAAAACCCAAAAAACTACAATTTATAAACATCGACATAGCGCCATAGTGCTGTCCCCGGTACCATGGCGCCACGGACGCAAAAACGGGCCCGCGTGCCCACCAAGACAGTGTCGCGGTGCTATCTTCTCGGGCTATGGCCTGCAGCATCTTGCTTTCCTCTTTTTTCATCCTGCTTCGATCTCGACGCGTCCCAACTTAATCCGGACTTGTCCCTAGCGCGTTCCGACATCGTTTTGACTCCACCAATCCCAACATATTCTCCACATACTTCAAACATATCACTAAGTTAGTATTTTCTTGGTTCCAAAACTTGACAATGCAATCAAATTTTCTAATGTCTTGGTGTCATTATGCTTTTCCCTATGTTTTATGTATTTCCAAATTCAAAACTCCTTAGATTCTTCAAAAGTCAAGAAATTAGCTAGCATATCTCATTCGTGATCTATTAATGTTGAATAAGACTTTAATTTTAACTTAATATACTATTAATGAAGACAACTACTTCCAAATTTCTACATTAATTACTTAACAAACACAAGGATCACTTTTATCAAAACATTGACAGCTGCTTCTTTATTTCTACTCGGAATGGAAACCATCAATTTATAGAGAGAATATTAGAACATGTATACATTTCTACAGCCCAGCAAATCAAAAGCCAAGTTTATTTGTATTTTAGCCCTAAGAAGCAAAACTTGTAGTTAAATATCCCTTATATTTTAACATCTTTTAATGTTAAAATTGATCAATCATAAATTAACACGACATGATATGAGTTGAGACCACCCTTAAAATATGAAAAAACAAAATTGAAACTTTTTTAAGCATCGGGAACTTATTGAAAAAATATCCAATGGGCCACGACCACAAAAGATAAACATATTAAAAATGTTATCATATAATTAACAAATAAGAACCATTTTTTATTTGATTGTTAATTTTTTTTTCTTTTTCCTGGAAGAAAATCAATATTTAAAAGATTTGAGCTTTGCTGCTAGCCATACATTTCTAAACTAAAATGTTGATTTGGCAGTGTGGAAAACAGGATTTGTGGTTAAAGTTGACCGACAGAGTTTATGCTTTTACCACTGTCCAGACAACCTCGTGTCTCGTATGCACTTGTCCATGTTCTACATTAATCTATGCTAACAAGTCGCTGTCACTAAAGTCCATATTACCATTCTTTAAACATAAAGATTCAACCAACCAATCACAACAAGCTCTAAATCCCAAAAACTTAATACGTCCATGTCGCTCCATTCGATGGAGACGAGAGAGGCCTCGAGGGGCACCCGTGGCGTGTATATCCATGGTCGCTCTGGAGAAATGTCGCATTTGAGGGGAGGGTGTGTACGTCGATGATAGCTCACCATATTGATGGAAGGGGCAGACAGGTCACACCCCTCCACCATGAGAGTGCAATCTTGGATCTACACGCCCTATCCATCGGGTGGTGCGTGAAAGAACGATGATTCAAAGCCAGCAGCCAAACAAATCTCATAGCAAATACATCATAAGAGCTCAATTAGGAATGAGGCAGAGTTACAACATTATATGAACATGGAAAGATTATTTAACACAAGGGTCTGTTTGATCAGGAAAGGAAAGATATCTATTTTATCACATCAACAGATAAAAAAGAAAAGAAAAAAAAAACCCCACATGCCACTGCATTGGCTTTGTTAAGAAGAAAAAGAAGGGAATACACATATTCATCCACATAAAAGAACAAAAAATTAGCCACTCTAGATGCAAGAAGCAAACAAGGCTGTGCTATTGCTTTCTTTCTTCCCCCTCTCCCTGTCTTTGATTATATAACTGAAAAGGCAAAAGCAGAAAAAACCGATGACTGGCGTCGCTCAGTCCAAGGCAATCGGAGTCAGAGGGGTGACACAGGCTTCGACTCCAACTCTTGTCATCACAACATACAGTCAGTCCTTGCAGGCAGCCTCCTGAAGAAGTTCAGTGGCACAGAAGGAAGCTTATGGCGGAATCTGGGATGTCTCAACACATAAAATCCACTCAGCAGGGCCACCACTTGGAATGGTGTGATATATAACACAATGGCAGCTACCAGACAGAATAAGACGAACAGGGCAGTGGCTCTTGGGTCTCTCCAGCTAAGCAAAGACTGCAGCCTCTCCCCTTGAGTTGCCAAATCCCCGACCACTGTCTGAATCCTCCCGGCAATGCTCCTCAGCCGGTCGTACCTCATCCTCACTATGTCACCAGGCATTGATGTCGGAAATGTATCGAATTCTTCATCGAGTTCATCAGGGTGTGCGGAGTCTGCATGTGACAGACGAGTGTCCATGTGTGGAGGATGTCTCGGCCTCCACCGGTAGTACCAAACACCGATCAAGAAGAGGTAGAGGAAAATGGTGGGCAGGATGAGCTCTGGGTACATGACGAGTATTATGAACAGAATGTGTATGAGGACAGTGGTGATGGGGTTTTTCCAGTTGCAAATCTGATCAAACCATTTTCCTACTGCTATTAACCCACTTAGAACTCCCATAATCCTGAAGAAATTTGCCTTGCTTCTTCGCATACTCCATATGTGGGAACCGACATCCAGCATGTACTCGACAACCTCTTTCCTTAATGGTGGCTCGGCCCGACTCAGCCTCATCGATACGATCTGAGTTGCTTGATGCCTTAAGCTCTCAAGCTGGCTGACCGTCAAAGGGTGAATGTAATGCATTTTGGGAAGCAAAGGATGTGTGTACATGTGCATCATATTCAGCAAGGAAGAGCAAGTGAACCTCACAGCCAAATGAATCTCACCCATCTTCTTCACTCCATTTTGGTGTAAAACAAGAAGAGGATACGAATGTGTGTAAACTCGATCCGTCTCGAGAGTCGAAAGGCGTATCCTCACCTTACCAATCCGCGAATCTTTTGTCCCTCCACCTTTATCTCCCCCATGCAAATGACAGTTATCAAAAACCCCGATCGTGACTACCGTACAGGGATCGGCAACTTCCCAAGTGTACTGCTCATTCCACTTGGGTGTAAAGCTATCTATAATCGTCCTTGTTCGAACCCACTTCTGCCCGTATTTCGCTACACAATATGCATCAGTCGTCCCACGCCCATCTTTAGTCTTCATCGGCATCAATCCCTGAGCATTCAGGATACCTAGTTCCAACACCCCAATGCTCTGCTTCCACAATACTTTGGCAGTAGGTCGAAGATCACTGCTGTAGTGCGTCGATTCATCCAAAACATGATAACCGCCTTCCAAACAGATCCTCATATGAATTCTGCTAGCAAACTTGATTTCTTTTTTCTTTTCACCTTCAAGGACGACATGTTTCTCCAGATTAAACCATTTGCTGTTCACAGGTTTGTGGTCCAACCTCCGGTCCACATACTGCAAAGGAATAGCACATCTACCCAGGATTTCATCCTTATTCGGCGCAACCCGGTCCTCGACACTCAAAATCAAGGGTTCCTCAAATGGTTCTGCAGCTACAAACATCAAATCCTCATTCCACATAGGATTGATTGTCCTGCTCTGAGAAATCCTAGTTCTCAAACCTTGGTTTCCCAGGACAACCTTCACAAAAACTTCCGGGTATCTACCCTTATCAGTAGGCTGCAAGTCCTGAGCTTCGATAATGTTAACCCTTAAGTACCAAAGCTTGGGTGAAAGATACACCTTCGATCGAATATTCGCTAGACTGTCAGTTCCACTGACAGTTGCAGCATCTGAATGCCATGCTTCAGGGAACGCTTCATCAGCTTGAGTGCCCATCCAAACAGCTAACATTAGCTCTCCTTTAAGTTTATCCCCTTTCTTGTCCTCCAATCTGTACCATTGTGGAGCCAATGGACTGTCGGGCGGAACACGTTTTGGAACCTCATTCAAGTCGAACAAAACACGACCCATGAAGTCATCCTTAATAAAATCTTTATCCTTCACAGTAACCTCGAGCACTGTAGACTGTAACCGGTCTTTCGAGAAGGCGAAAACCTGGTTCCACTCGGGATTCGACTTCTTCTCAAAATGTCGAGTTGTTCCCTTGTAGTTCCCAAGCTTCACTTCCACATAAGGGTCACAGCTGCCAGTAACATCCTTTGGAGGCAAATCTTTCGCTTTGACAACCCGGACGTAGAGATATTGCATTTGCTCGACGAGGTCATACGTGCTCATGAGTTTATCTCCAGTGACCTTCCCCCCACCAAGATGGGGATTGGTCTCCTTCAATAGAAAGTCTTCTGGTGGTGGCCTCTGCATCTTCTTAGTGCCAAGGAGTATGACCCAATTCCAAAATATTAGCAGTCAAAGTGGACAGAATTTGAAACCAAATCCAAATTATGTCAAACAGTTCTCAGAAACCTATAAAATAGGAAGAAAAAAACAGAGTAAGCTAGCCGTTACAGTAAGTGAATAGACTAAGATCGCCTCAAACCATGAAAATTCTAAACAAAGTTCCTTAAAAGACTAAAAAAATTTGCAACTTCACACACAGACAGGCTGCTTCGAACTCACAAAACTAAACAGACATTCTCAATAATGCAGAAGTAGCAAAAAAATCCCAAACAACTTTGAATTTCATCAGCTCAAATGGAATAAAAAAAAGACACAAATCTTAGTACTTGGTAAAATAATGGTACCTTAAAAGTAGTACATAAGAAATCCAAACAGTTCTTTTCGGACGGTTTCAGATCTAAATGGCCAGAACCCAGAACCCCGAACATTCAAAGACAGAGAAACCCACAAGTTAGAAACGAAAGAACAGAGAATTCGTACTTCCAAAAAAGTAATCAGAACGAGGGAAGAAGGGCTTTCATCTAAATGAAAAAAAAAGCCCCACCAAAACAAAAGGAAAAAACTGCTCGTTATAGCTTAATATTATCATTATCATCATCCTCTAGAAAGGATAAGAACAAAGAGGAAGCCATGAAAGTAGCGGTGAGTTCGTCATTTTCTGGAAACAAAAACGACCCTAGTGGGTAATGCAAATTACGCCCACACCCCAAAAAAGCCATTTGGGTTTCGAGAACTTTCTCGATGCCCACCCACCCAATCAGAGTTTATTTTCGAAACCCACAAAAACCCAAAACATAATTTCGTCCCCCTTTCAAAAATTCTCCCAGGACCAAAAACAGAGTCCGAGAAGAAAAAGAAAAAAAAAAAGAAAAAACAGAGAATCAAAGCGCAACCAGCAACACAATCATACTTCTAACACTAAACCCAGAAGTAAAAAATCACAACCAAGCGATGAAAAATCCCAGTCGAAACAGAACCGAAATGAAAATGCGAATGCATTTGAGATAGAGGGGGAGTACCTAAAATGGGGCAAAAAATGTCATCGCCGACAGAAACCCAGAAGAGGAAAAGAGAAATGGGAGTGTGGGTTATGAGGAGAGGGCTGGGAGGGATAAAAGCAAAGGGGCAAAACAAAAGAAAGCAGAAGCAGGGGAAAGGAAAGGAAAGGGAAGAGGTTCGCAGAATTGCTTTTGCTTTTGCAGAATTGCTTTATGGGTTGGGATCTGATGAATCTGCGAGAAATATGCAGAGAGAGGGAGAGAGAGAAGGGGGTGGGCTGTGGCTATACGGTAGAGTATTTAGTGAAGGGAGTTGGAGGGGCCCAGAAGAGGCGTGTGAAGGACCACCATCACCATGGGAGAGGGGATATTGGGTTGGTTTTGGGTTAATAATTTATGAACAGTAACAGGGGAATCAACATCAACCACCCTCCTTTCCTTTCCTTTCCTTTCATCTTCTTCTCCTTCTCCTTCTCTCATCTGTTATGTGTGCCTTTATCTTTTTTTTTCTCTCTCTCTCCCCGTGTGACTTGGGGAAATGTAAAAGATTTAAATCGGTCGGGTCGGGTCGGGTCAAAGTTGAACAAAGTTGAACGATCGAGATTAGATAATAGATCACAAGTTAAGTTCCTAAACTTTTAAAATTGTGTTTAAGTCTTCAGCTTCAAAAAAGTTTAATTGGCCTCTAATTTTCTTTATTTTGTGTTAAATAGATTATTAAGTTTAGAGACCTATTGTCACCTTTAGAGTTGTTAAGAAAAAAATACTGAACATAATTCAATTGGTTAAGACATATATTTTCGTTGAAATTTCATATATCAAATTCATAATTTAACCAATAATTGAATTTTGAAGTATCTTTGAATTCCTTTTGGATCAACGTACACTCATATTTTTCTGATGTGAGTCATTTTGAACCACTTAAAATATATTTACTCTCTTTTTGTTAAGATGAATGTTTAAATCTCTATCTTACCTCTCAACATGAACATAGTTTAGTGATTAAAATGTCGATTTATTTCCTCGACCTTCATTTTGTTGTACCGATTAAAAAGAACTTCTGTAAAAAAAAATCAAAAAGAATTTTTAGCATATTCTAAAGAGAACACCTCTACTGCTATCTTTTATCTCATAGTAAATGTGACTATGAGCATGGTTTGATATATGGTTACAGAATAAAACATGTTTATCTTTAGATTATTAATCTTGTAATATAATATAAGATAAAAAAGAGGTAATATGCACGTTGAGTTAGTTTTTCTTTTTTCTTTCTTTTTTTTTTCCTTTGTAATGAGATCATGTAATATCAATCTTGATTTTAATTAAATATAGATGAGGTCGTAAAAAATATTTGTTTGAATTTATACTCCACTTTTAATAACCTAAATGCATTGATAGTCTGTCATGTGAACTTTATTTAAGAATGATGTGTGAAGTCGAACCAAAGAATTATTTATAATAAAAAATATATTGTGCCCGAATAAAGGAGTCCAAAATAAGTATTATAAGTAAGATTTTAAATGTAAATGTCGATGAAATGTGGGAGTGTTAATCTTATATGATAAGTTAAAAATATTAATATTATATCCATACTAGTGATAATTTGGTCGTGTTTTTTTTTTAAATATTTTGTTGATTCTTTTGTGACACAGTTGAAAATGTCGATTCACCTCTCATGTCGATGTTAAATCTGTGGACATATAAATGTCGACGAAAATTTAATATAATGAGAATGAGAATAGTACCATAATTTTTTTTCAAAAAATAAAGAAAAGTAAAAGTTACACAAAAAGCTCGAGACAATAGCCTACTGGACATATATAGGAGGGTTCGAACCTAGATCTTGGATGTCAAAACCAACACCCGAAGCCGCTCTCCTTTCATTTCCTTGGGGTTTGTAACTAAGGAATTGTAATTTTTATTGAACTTTCATATTATTGGTAAACTTTAGAACTTTATTTTGATGAGTATACTTAAATAGTATGAACTTAATTATTTCCTAATTTGTTGGCTTGGAAAAGTTATATTTGAATCCCTATCTTTTTATTTAAGTATTATTGTATTTATATAGTATATAACATTTGAAAAAGTTGTCTATATAGGCACATAGAATCATCGATGATGTTATAACAATGATTTTTTTTTTTTTTTTTGAAATTACTGCTTTCAATTTGGCTCACTTTTCCTTATAGTTTTTATTGATTTAATTTATTTATGCTCTTGCTAGATTCTCACATCACCTTTTATGAATGAATACAAGAACAAACATTTGCTTCCTTTTCAACCCAAAAAATTTGAGTGTATACTCTTTAAGAAGGAAACAAAGAATGGTATAATTATGGTAAGGATAACAAAGTTACAAATCATGTTCTACCAAAATTTGATAATAGAGAAAGAGTGACAAAAAAAGACTATACTCTTGAAAATAGATGAAGAATCAACATTAAAAAGAGAGAGAGAGAAAGAATATAATTGTTGTTGCGTCATTGCCGTAGTAAATTTAGGGGTTGGGAAACCGCTGACAATTATGGGTGGTTCATCGATGTTCGTTTGAGCGTTTTGGGCTCTGATACCATAATAAGATTCATGGATTCCATCTCAAAACTAATGATCAATAATAGGAGTAGCGTATATCTATTATAAACTTTTGTTAGATGTGTATTTCTTTTCAATGTAAGATCCTTAATAGAGAGACAACATCTTCACTGGTACGAGGTCTTTCGAGTAAACCAAAAGTAAAGTTGATGATGGTTACATCTAAATAGTAGATATCAGAGGAAGACGAAGCTCAATGGGTCCATAGAAGAGTAGAATGCAGAAGGGGAGGCATATTTGAAAGGGCAAGATGAGGAAGAAGGGAAGCCATATTGGCGAAGAAAAGGGGAAGAGAAAAAGGTGGGTGGGCGGTCTCCAAAGCATAAGAACCAAGCGGCCATGGCATCCATACACATATTCCATTGAAAGAGAGACAGAACTTGGAACCCTCTTTTTTGAAACACAACAAAATATGAAGAATAACAATGCTTTTTGAAGGAACCCATTTATTCCTTTTGCCAAAAAGGAGAATTGCCCATGGGAGAGATAATATATATTGGGGTAAATATATAGACTTCATTCTTAATTAAGTAAATGAGTTGGGTTAGGGTAAATTTAATTCTGTTCTGATATCATGTTAAGGATGAATAAATTACCACTCAACTCACAAACATAACATTCATATATATATATATATGTTTCTTAAAGGAAAAATTACCCTTTGATTTCAAGATGACACTTTGGGAGAAAAGTGAATGTTTTTTCAGTACAACAACACGTGGGGTGGAAAGTCGAATCTTGCGACCTTTTAGTTGAAGATATGTGTCTTAACTAGTTGAATTATGTTTACGTTGCGAAAAATGGATGTGTTCGATCAATAAGATTTTTTTAAAATAATTTTTAAATCAACAGGGATGAAAAGGGATGTTCTCTATGTCATAATGTATGTGGTGATTAACAAATGGTAAGAACTTTTTGCTAAAAAGACTCATGATATATTGTATGGTAAGTAATTTATATTTTTTTAATCTAATTTTGGACTATTGAAACATAACTTTTTTTCCCAAATCAATTTTTAGATATTGCTATATGAGTGGGATTCCTAATAAAAATCAATCCAGTTTAATTTTATCAACCTCTATGTGTCAAGTTCCCTCATACTTTATTTGACTCATCACTAGCTGAAATTTTTTAAATTGAGGATACTTATACTAAAAACGTCAAGAAACTAAGTTCAATTAGAAAGATGAGCCTAAGTATTTGAGAGCGCTAAAACATAACATCTAAGTTGGAGGTCGATGAGCTCGAGGTCAACTAAAACATTAGTCTTTTAAATTAAAATCATCAGTCATCTATCGAATCATCTAATGTTAAGTTGTTAACAGCATAAATAATGTATCCAACTACTACAAAGATATATGGACACTGACTAACTATATGGTAAATATTTTGGGGCATAATCACTAGAGTATCTCATCCTTTGTTGAAAATAAAAAAAATCATATTTGATAGTTACCAAACTAGTTTCTACTGCATCAACCATAAATTTAAATATTATATATCACATTCAATTTGAGTTGGACGATGAAAAGTTTAATAAACAATAGCAAAGATAACTCTCATTCTCTTTCATTAGAAAGTTGACCAACTCCTTAATCTAATCACACTTCGAAAACGACCAAGTATATCCCTATTGAGTGATATCGATCTTGTCTTATATTTTTCTTCACTTAACATAACTAATACTATTAAAAAAATTTATTGGCAAATAAGCTCTAAAATCAACCAATAAAACAAATTTTTTTATTTTTCTAGTTCAAGAAGGGTAGGAATGGAGATCGAATACTCCACCTCAAGAAGAGTAATTGATGTCCTATCAAACTACTAATGTTGGAGGTAGATTTTTACCTCACACGTGACACATCTTGATTTGAGGAGAACTATAAGTGGTTTTGAGTCCATAAGGCTAATTAAGATTCATTACCTCGGTCATAATACTTATTATCGAGTCAATGCTATATCCTCTTGGTCATGTTCCCATTGTGTGGTTGAACCGACCTAAGGCTGCTCTGCCCAGCCTCATTCCTCGACACATTTCACGACAACACGCTGTGATTCGCGCTTACCTTAAAAGTCGTTGAGACCTTGTCGGAGATTTAGCCTATAAATAGAGACCATCTGCCTCTATCTCAAGTACACAAACATTAGAGTGTCTTCTATTTTGCAGGTCTCCTGCTCTCAGTCAATTCCAGCTCGTCCCCGAGCTCGTCTTCCGGTCCGAGTCGAAGTTCACTAGCTTGGTCATTTTCGTGATCAAACAACTGATAAATACTTGAATTGGCAAAAAATTATATATTTTCAGTAATTAGCTCCCATGGGGTTTTAAGGAGCCGAAGAAATTATTGAAATTTTATGAAAGAGTCTTGGGAGTCAGGATGCATTTGAAAACTAATTAGCAATGAGAGGAGTAGTCAACTTATATTCCTCCTTAAGATGGTACTTTTTTTGGATTCACCAATCTTGACCGGATCTCATTTTTTGACTGGGTGCTCGTTTGAGCTTTTGGGCTCTGATACCATATCAATATCTATGGGGTTCCATCTCAATAAACCAAATTGGCAATGAAATGAGTAACTTAGGTAGTCTATTATAAACCTTTGTAAGATCCATTTTATTTTCAATATGTGATTCTTAATTAACGTATTGTTCTTTTCATATTCGAAAAAACTTCATTAGAAGTCAAAAACGTGCATAAACTTGGTCTAGAATTCAAAAACATGCATCAAAGTCCCATCATTGTCTTGAAAAGTCTTGTATTAGAGATGAGAAATCTCTTTCTTTTACGTCAAAGTCTCTACATGACTTATACTACTCTACATTCATCTTAACTTATCTCCTTAATAACAATATCTAGTTTCCATCTTACGGACCATGGTGACAAGATAAGTAACCAAACATGTTTTTCCCGTCTTTCATGGACTTGTTCTACTATTTGTGCTATCTCGACTTTGAATTTTTAGGGTTGTATCTATAAAATTATCGAACTTTAAAGAATTTCTAATTAAATCTTTAAATTTTTTAGATTTTGTGTTTGCTCACCGTCGGGTTTAACGATTATGTGACATGATACTTGTATTATGTTAGGATTGCATATGGTGAGTAATTAGTTTCTATTGGTTTTAGGTATTCTAATGAGAAAAATATTAAAGTAACGAAGTTAATCTATAAACTTATAAGACTCCGTACTAAAAATTCAATGGCTTAAATATTATTATATCAATTAGAACGCAACTTTGAAAATTTAGAGATATTTTTGAAACTTTTTAAAATACAGTGAAATGAATTTAATAAACACGATCTTGAAAATTTATGACCAAAACTTATATAAATTCAACATTCACTGGCTAGTTAAACACATTCTTTAAATTGGCTTTTTCTTTTTATATTATCAAAAATAATAGTAGGATTAAAAACTGATTCCTTACAAAGACCATACCTCTAACCTTTCAATTCTTCCCCAAGCTAAAAGAATAATGATAATAAAAGAAGGTTCTAGCTTCCTTCGTATCAAGTTTGGGACCAAGAAAATTTATACTCAATGAATGACTTTTTCAACATCTAGGAACGTCGTAGTGGCAAGAATACGAGACTTTATGGTATCACCTATTATGGATTATTCTACTTTTATAAAACTTCGTACTTTTTGCTAAATTTATAAATAAATGTTTGTTTACCATTTAATGTAAATACCTTCATTAATTATACTATTGTGACAATGATTGACAATGATTTATAATAACCAGTCAATTTAAATAATATTATTATGCCAGCAACTTAGCAATTCACATCCCATGAAGAATAATAAATAAATAAAAAGAAGTCAAAGCGATTATTGCTCAGCAACCATATATCTCCAACGTAGCCATATATCTCTAACTAAAATATTGTAGGTTCGACTCTTTACCATCAAATGTTGTACTAAAAACAGTATCATTTTGAAAAAATCACATTACCATAAATTAAAATAATTAAAAAAAGATTTTGTAGTAGAGTTAAGCGATTGTTTCGTGAGATTAGTTGTAGTATATATGAATCCATTATGAAAAATTGAATCCATTATGAAAAATTACTTCACACCTTCCACTTGCATATCAGAATGAGATTAGTATATTGATAGACTATTTAGAAACTATAATTACATGAAAGAATTTAATGTACAAAATTTATACTTTTATCATGAAATAACAAGATGGTACCCATCATCAATTTACCATTATATCCTTTTATGTTTACACCTAAATATTAATTATTTTTTGAAATTAAAAATTACTTATTTGAAAGGTTACATTTTAAATCTCTTATTTTATGCTTAGACTCTCCAAAAATAAAAATTACCAAATCCCAAAATACTGCCAAAATCCCCAAAATCTTCCATTATTGCAAATTTTCAAAAAAAAAAAAAAAACCCTCATCATCCCGCTGTTTCTTCTTCCTATCTCGTTTGCTCTCTTTCCACAAACATCATTGTTTCCGTCCGTTCGAGCTTCTTCTTCGTCGTTGGAACAGACCATTATACTTCTTTTTCATCGTCAGCCGCTCGTCGACCGTTTGAGCACTCTATTTATCCCAAGGTTTGTTTAGTCGCCAACTGGAAGGCCACAGCAAATCTATCGTAAATCAGCGTGTCATCGAATTTGTTCGTTTGTGGCGGGTGGTCAACGGATCTTTGTAGAGAATGCTGCCATCTACAAAGGGAACCACATTGTCGTACCACATTGTCGTTGGGTCGTCGGATTTGAGTGGTATGAAATTTAGGTGTGAATTCTTCTATATATCCGGATATAATATATATCTACAACTAAGTACCATTTTGGTAGTTATAGGAACTTAATATTCGGATATATTTTATATTTATCACATAGGTTTATCTTGTAATTGTATTGGATTGCATTTGTTGGGTTAATGTTAATAAGAGCCATTCATAATAATGAAGCATGTACTAGATGTCTAAATTGACATAATAGGTTAATGTTATACGCAGATATAATATATATCTACACTATATATATGAAATTGATACTTCAATAGTTAAGGATTATATCCAGATATATTTTATATCTATTATTAAATTCCAAATTGCAAGATACAATCTAGTTCCGTTGTTTTTTTATTGCTGCTAAAAATTTTTGATGTTATATATACTTTCTAATATCACCAAATCGTGGGTATATTTTTCAACTATTTTGAATTTGAAATCGTGGGTAAATCTACACATTAATTAATTTAGAAATTAAAATCATGGTAATCTAATATATGAATGAGTGAATTAAGGGATTAAGGAAAAAATTGGTTATGTTTCTCGACGTGTCAAGTATCAACAACATGCCAACTCCTTTAATATAAGGGCATGTCAAGAGACATTTCTATATAAGACTCGACATTTCGCTCCGGTAAAGAACAGGGCCTTGTGTTTGGTACACAAAGGGAACAAAGGCTAAATTTAAGGACAAGGAGCAAGGATGACAATAGGAGGAACCAAGGACAAGGTATTAGAAAGAATAGCCCCTAATGAAAGTTGTTTTGTTGCAGCCTTCTTCCATTCTCTCTTTACCTAAAGTTATTGACCAGTAAAAGGGTAAAAGGGTAAAAATCTGACTGCCCCATTACCCAAACTAAAGAAATTTCTGCCTTCCTTTTGTTTCTTCCACTTCTATAGTTGCATTGTTTGACATGTGCTGTGCTGATCTTGACAAAAATAAATGGTGACAGAGGGGGTCTAAAGTATGAGTAACAATGGTGATGAAATCTAATCTTTGACCAAAATGAAAATTTGATGGGTGGGTTTTAATATGAGATATAAAATTATGATGGGAGGGGCCATATTATTCGCCTTGAAAAAGAAAAATGTGTGCCATTGACAACTTCTCTGTAACACCTTGATAATTATCCCAAATCGCAAGCAAAATAAAGCTTCCAACATATGGCAGAAGTCCAAAACTAAGCAAAAACAAGTTGAACAAATTGAGAGTACCTTTTATTCATACAATCCCTGTTAAGCTCCTTTGAGGCAACATAAACAGCCGACCGAATGAAGAGAACTGAGAGTATAATTACATCTCTGGAAAACCAAAAGAGATAGCCAGCCAAGTTCTTCTCTTCTTCCAATTGCTACTCGATGTGGGATCTTTTCTTGGTGGTGTAAGGGTAGTACTCCTTTCCGTTGTCAATTCTGGTCGTCTGCCCACCAACATCAATTAATGTAGAAGTAACTGCCAAAGCAGCTCCGGCGGAAATGGCAGTTGAAATGCTTTTTCCTGGAAGAAAACAATAGCATCAATTAACCACTTCCAGAGCTGAGTTAGCTTACAAGCATGAAAAGAAAACAGAATTTTTGAAACATTTAGGCCCCATCTCATTAACTATTTCGCTTTTGGTTTTTTACTTTTGAAGATTATGCTTGCTTCTCACAATTTTGTTTGGTATGTCTTTCACATTTTTTAAAACTATACTTAAATTTGAATTATTAGCTAAGTTTTTTTATATTTAAAAAAAAAAACCTACTTTCGTAAACTTCATCCATATCAGGCTGGTCCCCTCCCAATTTGAAATATTTTATGTATAAAAAGTTAGAAGGTAACGTTTCTGGCTATGCCCATAGCCCCAACTGAAGGGGTTTTGTCCATAATATCCCAACATACTATTTAAGTTTTCAAGGCTCCAGTTGGTACTTCTAGAAGCATTGAGAAAAATATAGAGTGAATTATTTTGGGGGGTGCAGACTAGAAGAAGTCATCATTTGACAGAGTTGTGTCTCCTGTTCTTTGGAAGATGGAGGTCTTGGCTTCCATGAATATAGATCTAACTATCTAAGTAAACGAACCTTTACTAACCTAACATAGAAATTCTTGGCTTCCACAAAAATTGGTTCTTTAAGTTGTTTGAGTGTCTTGGAATCGTACCAGGATTGTCGAGCTCTGATGGAGGAGGCTTTGTTGTTCCCTCCCTTTCTAGATGAGGGAAGGTTTTTGTGAAAGACTTGTCTTTTTGCTATTTCATGGGGGATTTGGCTAGAGAGAAACAGTAAAACCTTTAGGGAAGTGGAGGCATCCCAAGAGTATCAATGGGAGCCTGTTAGATTCAATACCTAACTATGAAGGCCTGTTTTTATAACTTTTGTAATTATCATTTAGGCGCTATTCTATTCGATTAGAGTCCATTATCTGCGTGGCCTCTGGTGGCCTCCTTTTGCCAGGCTGGTTTTTTAATGCTATCCTTTACTTCTCAATGAAACTCAATTTCTCATTATAAAAAAAAACAAACGAAACACAAAGTTGCTAGCAAGTATGGGATGGATAAATTAGATGGATCGCCAAGTGTAGCAATGACCTCCAGCCCTTGGTTCCATACTTTCCAATCTGAGAAATACTGTGGATCCTGTGGCCTTTGATTCCATATTCAGGTGGGCGAGGGCAACAGAGTTAAGTTCTGGGATGACATCTGGATAATTGACTCTTCTCTCTCCCTCTCTTTTCCTAGACTCTATGCTCTAGGGAAGTCCAATTACAAACATGGGCAGCCTGTAGAAAGGCCTTTTCCTCACCAAATCTAACAAAATTAGAAATTTATGGCTCATTGAGCCACATATTTTCAAACCAAAACAAAGAAGGGCACCAGAGAAAATAACCCATTTCCATCGGGGGAATGATCTGATATCATCCTTACCCATTTTGATACTAGATTCTTGGAAGAATTCCAACCACTGTTTAGAAACAAATAACCTAGCAATCAAGGATTACATAGGCCGTTCTCTTAAATTTGACCAATTAAAATTCCAATGGGATAACAAATTTTAATTAGAACAAATCTTCTAAAACTTTAATGAATTTCGTCATGCTCTTGGTTCATCTTCCTACATTCAGGTTCTCAAAGTACCACCTTGTGAGATTGAAATCGCCCCTCAAACACTATATATCCAAACAATAAGGGTGAAGAATCTGCAAATTCACCCAAAAAACCATCCCTACCATTATAATTTGGAAGCCCATACATTACAGGCACCCAATATTCCTTCCCATCCTTCAAAACTATTTTCAAAAAAAGGAAAAGGTTCCTTAAAGAGCTTTCACCATCAAACACTATATATCCAAACAATAAGGGTGAAGAATCTGCAATTTCACCCAAAAAACCATCCCTGCCATTATAATTTGGAAGCCCATACATTACAGGCACCCAATATTCCTTCCCATCCTGCAAAACTATTTTCAAAAAAAGGAAAAGGCTCCTTAAAGAGCTTTCACCATCTTTATCTTCTTATTGTTCCAAAGAGTGAGAATACCACCTGAACTTCCTCAAGATTCTACTTCATCCCAACGGCCAACATATATCAACTGAGCCCCACAGCTATTTTACAAATCTCTTGTCTGCTTTTGCTTGCTTTGTTTCTTGAAGAAGCACCATATCTAGACTTTTTTTTAAACTAACTCCTTATTTATAAATCTCTTACCATAAGTCCCGTAACCCCCCTCATATTCCAACTTATAATCCTAAAAAGAAATAAAGAAATAAATAATTTAATAGTGCCGACGAGAGAAGATGGTGTAAGGAACTCCCTTACAAAATATTAATATTCAGAGATGAAAGCCCTAGAGCTTGATGCAAAACTCTTCCTACCAAGGATTTCCCAAAACATACAAAAACATTCCCCCCCCCCCCCAACAGCATATAAAGACAACTAACTTTAAGAGGGTGAATTTCCCTCTTTGCCCCTCCTACATAAGTGTTGACTATTTGTGGTCTCACAGATGGTCACTCCACTTTCTCATAGTTTACAGTTGGAATCAAGTTTTTCAAATCCCTATAACCACTACTCTTTCCGTTTTTTTTTTTTACCAGGAGCTTTTTTCTTCCTCTGACTAAAGGTAATGAAGTAAGAATTAAGATATAAACCAGATCTCTAAATAATTCAATAATCCACCCCATAAAGAGTTTTGACGCTCCTGATGAAATTTCCCCACAGAAATTCGAAGATAACCAACAGCCAATAAACTGTCCTCTGCTTCATTAGGCTATAGCTTTGACTCTGTACCAATGTCAACATTCACTTCTTCATTATTTGTTATAAACATAACATTTAGCACTACGTCTAAAGAATCAACCACGTTTACCATTTCTTTTCTGTTAACTGTTAAGAGGCACAATATTAAGCATTTCTTATTTTTCCCAGGCTTAAACAATAGGAATAGAGAAATCTAACATAGAGAAATAAGAGATCCCTACAATTTATTTCACTTCATTATCTGCTTCACAAGTAGGAATAGATTTCCTACTAAAAGAACTATCTTTCTTCATTCCTCCAGACCCAAGAACCACAATTTTGATCACCCCATTTAATGTCTCAAGACTCAAAACTCTCTTTTAAGGGTGGATATCTTTATTGATGAGTTACTTATGGTAGTATGATCTTCTTGTTATTTTTTATCTTCTTCTCGTTAGTTTTTAATTATTTATAGTATTCAATCGCCTCATTGATCAAATGGCCACAGGTAGGATATCTTTATTAATGGATTGGAAAACAATCAGCTAGTAACAAGTGATATTTGTCCGTCAACAGTAACAAGAAGGGTACAACCATGACAGAAAAAAATCAGTAACATCTGTATGTCAAATGAATAGAGGAAAAAGAACAGGAGAGGCAATAACAAAGTAAAAGCAGAGACGGGGCCACAGGAAAAAAGATAAATAGAGAAACAGAAATTTCTAAAAATTGAAGAAAAATGAGAAGAGGGTGGAAGGAAGAAAACACAATAACTCTCTGTCCCTCTCCTTGCCATTGTCCTTTGGTTGGTTTTCCTCCTTTTCCGTCCCCGTGTTGTCACCAATCCACATCACTTACATTAGGAGGAAGAAAACCAATAAGAAAGGAGGGAAAGAGGGCGAGTTAGGGGATTTCATTTTGACAATGTAACTAAGAAAGGAGGGAAAGAGGCCGAGTTAGGCGATTTCATTTTGACAATGTAACTATCATTAGGGAAAAGACTTTTAGGTCTTTCTCTATATTTCTGTTACGTTAAGGCAAAATTAGTTAAATGTCACTCTATGTAAAGGTGGGTAAGGTAAGTAAGTGCATATTGCGTTTGAGCTAGAATGAAACTTTAGTTGGGAGGATCCCAAGCCTCTTAAGTCTTAGAGTATTCTGTATCAGTTTCTCGGAGTGATGCTATAGTCCAAGTCCTACTTCCATTTGTGATTTGCTTAGTCCGTAACCATATCAGGATTGAACTGCATAATAGCAGTAATCTTTGAGAATTTCTCTCTATCTTGTTCTCCTATATCACAGTAGGCAGGGGCTGTTTCAGAAGCATATGCCTACTGTAATCTGCAGAAAGCCAAGCTTAAACAACATACTTCCAATTCCCCTTCAGGGCACCAGTTCTACTTTTCATAACAAGGTTGAGGTACGAAAAGCAAAGAGGTTAAATGGAACATAACAATGATTGAACTAATTTAACGATAAATGGTGATAACCTTTTTAAATACTGAAACATGCATCATTTTGAGGTTGCATACATTAACCATCCACAGGTGTAAATATGCCTAGTAAATTCCACTTAGAAAAACCTCTCCACATTCATAAAATAAAATTTCATCCCATCCTCCAAGAGAGGAAAGCAGAGAGAGAGAAACAAAAGTTACAAAACAAATTAACAATAATTTCTTCATATTTGCTAATGAAAGAACTCAAACTGCAACTGCATACAGAATCCCAGATTTAGAAAGAGTAGAAAATTTCACCTTTATATCCGAGAACAGATGCTCCAGCTGCAAAACCACCAACAGCTCCATTAACGAAGTCTCTCTTCATTCTATAATTCTGCACAAGCTGCTCAACACCAATGTATACCCCTCCAATGGCAGCAAACGTCATCCCATAATTTCCCATCATTTTCAAGGTTCTCAAAAACCCGGGCAGAGCAACATTTCTCTCAACACGGGGCACATCATACCAAGTTGCAGCAATTGTCCCAAAAATTGTCCCAGCAACAAATCCTGTAGTTGCACCTTTGATTGTTTTCATCATCGACGTATCATCATCCTCCAAGTACCTACGTTCTGAAGCATCCATGGGTTGCTTTCAAGTTCCTGACGATGACCAAAGCTGCGAAGAAAAAAACAAGACTCCGGCCTCAATAGCCATTTCGAAAGAATAAAAAACTAAACTTTACGAATTTAGTGCCTTCGAATTAGAAAATTAATAATGAAACCATTCACATGAACGGAAAATTAAATAGAATGCCGCGAATTCAAACCAAGAATCCGGTAGATAACGAACAATTCGATAATATAAACAGATGAGTGCGTTCAGATCGAGCCGGAAACCCCAAACGATTTCCGCCACTCGCGCACCTCAATACTACAATTACTTCCCTATCCTCTCTACATATGAAGCATGAAAATCGACTTCGCCGATAGAATGTCAGGCAGATCAAACCGCAGAAGCTAAACCTAGAGGAATTGCGTCACATCCACATCCAATGCGATCATCGTAGCTTCTATAATTTAGGAAAATCTATGAATAGTACAACAGAAGATTGGATTGAAGGAAGAATTACGTACCGTTTTGATGATGCTCTCTGGAGAAGGGGGAAGGAGGAGGAGACCGAAGTTCTTAACTCAGCACAAGAACTTCTCTTGAACTCAAATTTGTCGTCGTTGCAACCCGATTCCCAGCTGGTTGCGTAATTACTGTACTACCCTCGTCTATTTATTTCATTTTAGGAAAAAAAAATTATCCTTCTCTTTTACCAGTTTTAATCTTGAATTTTTCAATTTCATGAACTAAAATCCAATTTTTTAAAGAAATTATATTTATCGACCAAAAAATCAAATTAATATTTCTCCCATAAAAATGCATAACTATTCTATAAATTACACAAATTTTAGTAAGGCATGTTTAAACTCAATGAATATAAGAATAGTTTAAATGAATATTTATTAACTTGGAAGTTCAAATTCCTCACTTCAATCAGTCAAAAAATGACTATGAAAATATTCAAATTGAACAACAAAACTAAACAATATAATAAGCACTCAAAACTGAGTTCAAAACATTCAAGACTATCTACACGGTGCAACATAATTATTTATTATAGTTTAATTTTAATTTTGATACTTTTAGCTTTAGTTTACGTGGTTTTAACTTTTGTCTATTTTAGCCTTTGTACCATAAATTGTCTATTTCGATCATTGCAGGCAAACGTTTAACCTGAAGTATATATCGAACAAAAACTCTTTAATACAAAGTTATGTTACATTTGAAGAAATTTATTTGGTGCAATGTCGTACTAAAATTATAACTGAAAATGAGACAAAAAGAAAAAAAAATGAATGTTCTTAAAAGTATAGGAAATAAAAAAGCAAAAAGTACAACCAAAATAATATTTACATCAAAATTAAATTTATTAAGAATTTATGCTCTTCTAACATAAAATTCTAGATTTACCACTGTGTAACCTGTTACAAAAATTAGTATAGTTAGCCAGAAATCATCTCACCCAATCAATATGGGCTATTAAGATTAATAAATTATATGGCTACTTTCAAATGAGGCATAAGTCCTTGATTTTGAGCTACATAGAAAACAGTTGTTAGAACAATTAGCAGCTTCAATAAAGATCAAATTGGATTAATTTTGAAATGCTTTCCATTCTGAGCTTCTGCCATCAAGAAATGAAAAACCGCTCTCATATCTGAGATCGAATTCATTTATTTATTCACATGGAGAAGTACATAGTCAAGGAGAGAATTCGAAAGCTCCCTATTCTCTCCCAATCCACCTACGAGACATTCTTATCTAAAATATATCCGCTCTTCTGTTCTTAACTCGTAAACACTCGACCCACAACCTTCCCAAACTAGTTACACTGGGGGTTCCATCACAGACGTTTTTGTTCTCTCTCAATTCAGTAACTTTCAGGATTGAGTTTCCTGTAGCAGCAGCACTTGGCCAAGACCTGCTTGGTTACAACCAACAGAAACCATTAATTATTCTACTGTCAAGACCAAGCATTTAAGCTCAAAGAAACTGCTACGTATGAGAATGCAGTCAACAAACAAAAATTCTGATTCATCTTGCAACTTTTCTCTTGTCATCCAAGTGACAAAATGGCAACTGAATAAGCTGGCTAATCAGAACCGAAATCAGATGGACGAACAGCTATACGCTGGCGAGCTTGTGAAGCCGGTGTTAGTTGTATGGAAGGATTTCTCTCCAACTTCTTTACCTGCAGCTGCAGCACGATTTTCCATCCCGACCTTTCTTTGAATACTTGTCAGGGATCCAACGACGGCAAACATTGGCGGTCGACGTTCCATTACACGCTGCTCGAGTTCAATAACACGCAGGAATGTAAATGTGAGTAGTTTAGTTACAGAAACAAGCAACTACTGAAACCCTGCAAAGGGAGTTTTATCCATAGGGTTGTCCCTGATAATACCTGTATGCAAAGGGAGATAATATCAGCACAGCGAGAGAGAACCTTGGACGATATTGTTCCTCTAATCTCAGGATCAATAATCTTGTCTAGACTCCCACAGTCCTGAAGCTGAAATGACGCCCATCTTAACGGGGATTGCTCGATCCGTGGTCTCAAACTGTGTGATAACAATCAAAGTATTCATACTTTGGAAAGAGCTTAAGGATGAGAAAAGCTGGAAGAGGAAACCAAGAGGTGGAATGTGCCATACTCATTAGGTCTCCTTCCTGTAATAAGCTCCAAAAGCAACACTCCGAAGGCATACACATCACTTTTGGTAAAATCAATCCCAGGTTGGCCATATTCAGGTGCAAAGTATCCAGTGTCAACTATAGCAATTTGAGCAGCCTGTTTCATCAGTATTTATTAATGAAATGGCTGATCATTCTCTGTTTCCACATCTATAAAAGGGTCAGTTAAAACTTGCAGGTCTCCGCATCAGTAGCAATCATTTCCATAGAATACAGTCATCTAGGGGATAGACAAATTGGATGTAGATGAGATAACAAGTGAACGTGCAGTTGAGAGAAAAAAAGACAGATAAAGCATTTTTTTATGTCCGTGAGCAACAAATGAGCTAGAATTTTAAGGTAACATTGAATATATCAGTTGCATTATTTTTAGTTTATGGAAAGGTTGTAGCTGAAGATGATTGTTAACGTTACCATTCCAAGCATTTAAGGATGATTTATCATTTGTCAAATGCTGAGTTAAGTATATTCAGGATGTTACTTGCCTTGATTTTAACTCTATTGCTTGCAAGAGGCTTCAAAACAGACAAACCACAATCACAAATCTGTGGCACCAATTCTTCATCGAGCATGATGTTGGCGGCCTTCAAGTTGCAGTGACTAAATGGGGGGAAAAAAGCATTATGCAAGTAACTGAAAGTGCAGAAAGACAGATATATTAACCCCAGAAAATATTAGCCGTTCTTGGAGCTTCGGTAGACAAAGAGACACATAAAAGTGAATTAGTATAAATATAGAATGCACTGCAGAAGAATCAAAATTGTTTGACGATAGTGGTTAGGAATACATGTCCCACAAGCAAGTCTTAGATCAGAAGACTCAGTCCTGATAATTAATGTACTTACTCCAAAGCCTTTGCAACTCCAAGAGCGATTTGGAGTCGAACACTCCACGATAGAGGCTCATGTGCTACACCATGTAGAGCATCATCAAGGGACAGATTCCTGACATACTCATAGGCTAGCAGATGTTGCCCATTCTCTGCACTGTATCCAAGAAGGCTAACAATGTAAGGGTGTCTCAAACGGGAAACAGTGCAGACCACATCCAAAAACTGTTGTTCTTCTTTAAAAGAGAGTGCTGCGATGTCGACCCTTTTCACAGCCAAAGTCTGGTACAAAAGTTAAATGTATTTAGATTTTTCCTTAACTTCATTTGCATCTAATATGTATATATTTTTTTAAGTAGATAGTAATACTGATACGAGTGAGCTCATTATACTTGGCCATTAGGAAATTCAGCTTTATAGACAGAACCAAGTGATCCCTCCCCAAGAAGGTTTTCTTCACTGTAGTGGTTAGTCGCAGATTCAAGCTCTGCCACAGTGTAAATTTTTGTTCTCACTGGGAATCTGGATTTCTTAGAAAAACTTCTTCTGCCATATGCTTTCTCAGTTCTAGCATGATGAACAAGACGTGTGTGACTTGGACCACCACCTATGACTGGAGAACTGAGAGGAAAGGCATGTGGGCTATCATCTGGTGAAGTGGAAAAAGCCGTCTATCACAAATAGAGAAAAACATAAAATGTCCAAAGAAGACATTAATCGGAAACGACGCTTTGTAATTTTTATTAGCAACTGTTAGAAACCAAAAATTGTTTACTTCATTAGTAAAATTGGTCTAAAGATAATCAAATTCATACTTCACCATAGGACTATAAACAAGTAGATAAAATGCAAACATATTGAATGAGAGCTTTTTCTCACATTCATTCTTAAATGGTGAGTGCACTAAGCACTTTATAGTTAATACTAAAAGATGAAGCATAACTATTTGTTCTCCAAACTTAAAGACCTCAAGAAAATAATGAAGTGGACATAATTGAATCATTGAGTTTAATTAAATATCTCCATATATCCTTTGCAATATTGATGGGTAAACCTATAAAATTCATTATATTGAGCCCTCCAGTACAGGAAAATAGAATGTTGGAATCATAAACCCCCCAGCAGGGAAAGATGGTACGAATATATGAAAAAAAAAATAGAGATCAATGTCTCTAGAGTGTTCTGGGGAACTCAATTCTTCATTTTAAGATATTTAGGTCATTTTTTTACATCTAATTATGCTTCGCCCAAAAAAAAAAACTACTGTAAATAAAATATGAGAAGATACATATGAGGACTGAGGAGAAGGTTCACCTTCAGCTATGCTGACTGGAAGAGACGTGTTCATGTGCTTCTTACTTCTCTGCTTTGCACATATTTGTGTCTTGCAGAGTGCAACAAAGAGAGCTGCAAAGAGTATTACTAGACCACCTCCACCAGCCACTATAGCTATTTCACCAGGACCCAGCTTTTCCCCCTTTTTCCTAACCATTTTCACAGAAGAACAGTTCCCAATGATGATCGACTCTGTTAATGGAGGGCTGCTATTGTTTTGCCTCAAAGGTGCTGTTTCCAAGGGAAAATCCCAGGGTGGAGAGTTACTTATATCGAACCTATTTCCCCCAATCCTAATAAGGGGTTTAGATGCAACATAAAAATTATTAGACATAATGAATGCCCAATTTAGATAAAAGAAACACGCAGCTGCTAAGATATGAAAACCTCACCATAAATTTGGAATTGTCTTAAATTGCTCTGGAATAGTGCCGCTAAAGTAATTGTCTTGGATGTTCCTTGTAAAATTAAATGCCAGTTAAAACTTTTCATACGGACATAAGTTGAAATTCAGTAAAAAGGTAATGGAAAAACATACAAATCGGTTAGTGGAAGATCAGATAAGTAGGCAACCGATCCTGTGAATTTGTTTTTCTGCAAGAACCTAATATGCTAGATGTTAATGAAATAACTAACTTTTCTAATCTGATGTAAGAACAAGAAATAATCAAACTGGAAAACCCCACAGTCTGTTGATATTAATCAGAGATGCAAATGAACTTGGTAGATCTCCAGTGAAGTCATTAAATGACAAATCCCTGTGGAATGAAAAGAATCAGTGGTTAAAATGGCCTGCCAAAAGTATCATACGCCAAAGTAATGGACTCAACCATATTATCATTTAATATTTCAATATAAGATTCAACGTATAACTAATTAACTTCAATCTCGTTACTTCGAAATTTAATAAATTATGATCAAAGATAAGAAAGAATTGTTATATTCACAGACCATAAAAATGTTAATATGAAATTCCAATAATAGAGGCCAGCATCAATTTGTTAACTATACTCGCTGTAAGTTACAAAATCTCCAGTTTGCATCTTCTTTCTTTGTCATGGAATTTTTTTATGGGCAATACTTTGAAAATTAACCAATTCCTTTCATTTTTTGTTCAGAGGAAATAAGATAACTGGTGAAGAAGCATACATCTCCACAAGATTTTGTAGGCCAGAAAACACATTCCCAATGGGGCCAGATAGGATATTATGGCTTAGGTTCCTGCACATATAAGAATATCGGTTCAGATGAAAGAAATGCCACCAGGGCAGGCACTTAGAGTTCTAGAACTCAAAGATGTCGTAGACTTTTCAAGTCAGGGTAAGTATGGAAGATTGTGGCTCAAATAGTTTGATGCATTAAAGAGATTGACTGAAAAATTATTGAAAATGTATATGACAAAATCAATGACATAATCTCCAGGAAAACAAGCACTTGACTAAAGCAGGACATGTAACTTACAAATAAGTGACATTCGGGGGTAAGCCAGAAGGAATCTCACCCAGAATTGCATTGGAACTAACATCCCTAATGTTAAAAAAGAACATTAAGCAAATTATTTTAGCTTGAACCATGATAGATGAAAGTGGTTACATTCTTACAGTTGCTTCAAATTACGGAGAAGATAGAGCTGATCCCCAAGATTCCCAGAAAGGTTTAGTCCGTTAAGTTTACTGCACTAAGAAGAAGACTTCTAAGTTTGCCACTCCAACATCACAATCAAAGTAATGAAACAATGGACTGAGTTAAGTACATTACAGGTTTGTCACAGACGAACCAACACAAAACACCCCCGCCCACGATCCCTCGCAAGGATCCCCGCCATCCGTTCTCCATCCTTTAAGCTCAGGTGGGTAGTCTAGAGTAGTATACAGATTGTGAAGAGCTATAACTGTACGACACGCAATAAGAATTAAATCAACAACTGGACATTAAAAAGCTAGAAATTCAGAGTCAAACGATTTCTGAATTCCAAGCTCATCTTGAATAGTTTTAAGAATACTCCTCAACCAATCTTACTTAATTTTCAGGACGATCAAAAGCAATGACAATAAAAGTCTACAAAAACGATAAAAAGGGAATTAGGGTTACCATCCAGCGGGTCAGTAAGAGACTGAACGACTGAAGTAAGAATTGCCAAGTAGCCAATCACACCGGAATACATTAACGGACGGAGGTGGGCCATTTCTTGAGAGATCACAGAAACAAAATAAAACCCGTCAGAACTCAGAAAGAAAAAACACATTATAAAGCCTGAGAAATTAGGGCAAAAGTTCAACAAAATCAGTAATCCGCCATGGGAATCGAATATAACTCAAATTAAGTTGTCTTTTTCAGTTGAACTGGTTTCTTACACTTCCGAAGACAGAGAGCAGCATGGAAAGAACCCTTGAAAAGGTCGAAGAAATTAAAGAAGTCGTGGAATGAGTGAAACTGAAGAGAGTCGCAAAGCAAAGAGGCAGAAGAAGAAGAAGTTGCGGATTTCAGCTTACTTTTCGCCGGAGAAAGAGAGAGATACAGAGCAGAGCGAGAAGCTAGAAGCCAGAAGTTCGTCTATGGCAATGGAGAAGAAGGCGGAGTTCTTGATTTCAGAACAACTGATGAGCTGGCGTCCACGTAAGCTTAAACCGTTAAGTCGTTGAGACCACGTGGATCTTTTAAAAAAATGAGTCCACGTGTTTGTTCGTTTTTTTATTTCTTAGGGCAGAACTGTATTTTACCCCGAATTTATTAACTCAATGTCCTGGCAAGAAATCTAGCATGGTTTTTTAAATTATTTTATTTTTTCCAATAACTGTAATATAAAAATATACTACCATAGAGGTTTTTAAAGTTAACTTAGATGAATATTAGATCAAGAATATTTCATCAATTTTTATTGCAAGAGTCTATTATAAAAAAAGAAAAAAGAAAAAAAAAGGTATTCTCCTCCTAAAATTCCAGGAGATACAAAATTAAATTAAACGCTCCATCAACAGACTCTAGTTGTTTTTTCTTTTTGTTTCTATTACTTGTTATGTTTTTTTTTTACGTTTTTAAGGAATTTTTGGTCCTATATTTGTGATTTAGTTCCTAAAATTTAATTTATAATGATTTAATATTTATACTTTTAAATTGGTAATAGTTTAGTCTTTATAGTTTAAAATATATACTAGTGTAACCTTCGTGTCTTTTTTTTTAAGAACAATTTCATGCTTCACGTAATCATATATTTGAGAAGTATAGTCGGACATGAAAGTTCTTTAAAAATTTGAAAATTATTTAATCGTTTTACTTATTCATGATTTTTGTTCAAGGAAAATAGTTAGACTCCACATTGATCCTGACTAATATTGTCATAATCACTTATAAATATTTAACAATTAAGTAAAGGAAGGCAAAAACACAAAGACATTTTTAAAAAGATAATAACCCGTCAACAATAGTCAGGACAAGATTTGAAATCGTGAGTTTTCCCATGACAATTTCATGCTTTTTAAGTATATTTGAAAATTGTAGGGGTTGGGAATCTTTTTAAATTACAATTTCATAAAAATTGTTTAATAAAACCATATTTGAAAGACTATTTCATATTTTTTTTCATGACAACCCAAATAACTTTCCAAACCTCCTTATAAATTAAGCTTATATTCTTCAAATAAATTCCAAGAAAAAAACTAATATTTATGAGAGACAGAGAGAGATCTTATGGCACCAAAACTTTGCACATCCAGCTTATGAGAAAGAACACACAAATTTATTTACTGATCTTTTTCAGAACTTTACTCTATAACCATGACGTAAAAACTGTGTCTGTACGTGCACAAAGAAGAATGATTCTATGTACATGAGAGAAGAACAGTGATTGACTAAAACGAGGTGGAACAATAGCTGTATGCTGGTGAACTTACGAAGCCAGTGTTGGTTGAACGAAAAGATTTCTCAAAAGGATCCACTTCAGTAACACTTCCTAATTCTGCTGCACCTCGTTTCTCCATTTCCATCTTTTTCTGAAGCTTTGTCAGGTGTTCCACTATTTCAGACATTGGTGGTCGGAATTCCTTCACAGGCTGATCCAAGATTAAAAAAACATCCGATTAAGCTCTTGGATTTAATGGTAGTTTAATCCGATAATAGTTACGCCAAATAATTCATCCAAACCAATAGAAGGGAAGTAATAAAGATATGCATAAAAGATTAATTATAGTTTTAATTCATAAGGAATGTGCATCATTTCCTATGGATTTAATATCAATAGTTAAATGTTGAATTTCATACATCAAAATAAGATATGAAAGTTAGATCAAGAGTAATGTTCTTTTTTTGAGTTCTAACAAGGGGTGGAGTGAGGATTTGAACCTTTAATATTCAAGGGATCGGTTATCTCATGTTATAATCGATTGAGTTTATGTTCAAGTCAACACATCATGAGTAATTGGTTTAAAGGTTAAATTATAAATTTAGACCATGTGATTTTCGAAAAATTAATATGGTTAATTAAATATATAAATTCACTTTCATAGTAATGAGATGTTTAGGAGTTACCTGTATACCAAGGGAGATAATGTCGACAAAGCGAGAGAGGGTCTTAGAGGAAAATGTTCCTTTAATGCCTGGATCAACCATCTGTTCCAAACTCTCATTGTCATGAAGCCGAGATGAAGCCCATTTCACCAGCGACTGCTCTTTCCTGGGTTTCGAACTGAGTGAAAAGAACAAAAAGTATTCAAAATCTGCAACAAGAGTTTGAAAAGGAAGAGCGAATCAAAAGGAGGTTGGATGAATTGTACTTGTCAAATGGTTTTCTTCCTGTGACAAGCTCCAAAAGCAACACTCCGAAAGAATACACATCACTTCTGGTATTATCAAATCCTGGCTGGCCGTGTTCAGGTGCAAGGTAGCCTCTGTCACCACTGACAATCTCAGAAGCCTGTTTTTCATCAGTATTTTCACATATAAAACTCATGAAAAAAACCATAAGCAAACAAACAAAGCTGGCTGTCCAGTTTATTATCAGATGCAAAGAAAAGCATGTTCTCAACTGTATTTTACCTTTGTTTTAACTCTATTGATCACAAGTGGCCTCAAAACAGACAACCCACAATCACAAATACGAGGCATCAGTTCTTCATCAAGTAAGATGTTGGAAGCCTTCAGATTGCAGTGAGCAAATGGAGGGAAAAAGCTTGTATGCAAATAACTGAAAACCCAAAAGGCAAACAGTTATAACCCCACAAGAATACAATTATCATCGATAACTTTGTCTCGAGGTAAGAGAGAGTGGCTTTTGAAGGTACTAACCAAAAAATTTTACATTTCACAAACAGGGTAAAAAGTCAAAATTTTCATGGTAGGAAGTATTTATAAATTAGTACGTTTCTCAAAAGTGCTAAGAGAAAAGGCATTTCACCTAATACGCTAATACATGAAAAATGCCTTTTAAGTTGGTCTAAGATTAAGTAAGTTGAAAAAGCATTATGAATATAGAATGCAAAACTAAAGATGAAATATTATGAATATAGAATGCAAAATTAAAGATGAACTATCATGAATATTGAATGCAAAAATTAAAGACGAACTAGAGGTCTTTGATCGCTGATTGATGTTTGGGGAACCTCGTTCCTTAATCAGTCTAAGATCAGAAGATATGAACTTGATGATCGAATAATTTACTTACTCTAAGGCCCTAGCAACTCCAAGAGCAATCTGGAAACGGACAGTCCATGACAGAGGCATGTATGCTTCACAGTGTAAAGCGTCACCAAGAGACAAATTTCGAACATATTCATATCCGAGTAAATGTTGTCCATGCTCTACACAATATCCAAACAGTGTAACAATGTTCGGGTGCCTCAAACGGGAAGCAGTCCATACCACATCCAGAAACTGCTCTTCTTCTGTAAAAGAGAGTTCTTCCATGTTGATGTTTTTCACAGCCAAAACCTGTTGGAAATTAGAAGTCAGAAAGAAGTTAATGGAGGTCAGTTAAAACTTCTCTCATAATAGGAACATTTTTACTTGGCCATCAGGAAATTCAGCTCTATAAACAGCACCAAGAGATCCCTCTCCAAGAAGATTCGCATCGCTAAAGTTGTTTGTTGCAGATTGAAGCTCTGCTAGAGTGTAAACTTTTGTTCTCACCGGGAGCCTGCATCTCTTTGAGAAACCTTTTCTTCCAGAAAATTTCTCGGTTCTTGTGTGATTTAATAGAGGTATAGGCCTTGGACCACCCATAAGTAGAGAACTAAGGGACAAACTTCGTGAACTTTCTTCTGGTGCAGTAGACGAACCATCTATCAGAGAAAATAGAAGTGTAACATCTCGGAAGAAAATGGCACAGCCTTCTCCTTCTCATAGTACTAAAAAGATGGATTCCCAAAAACATTGAATATTTTCCATCACAAATCTTAAACGAATTCAAGAAAACAGTCTTTCGCATACTTGAATGATTATAATCATCAAATATCAACATTTGAATTTCCATTGCGACATAATGGGGCATGGATAGAAGCATATGGACTTATGACACATATCTGAGACCTCAGAAGCAGAAAAGTAGCACGTTGAGATCAGAAATAAAGCTTCCATTATTATGTGAAAGAACATAGACTATGGGACTAAACTATATATGTCAAAATTCTACCAGTATGAAAAAATGGATTTTTTAATCAATTCATTAGTTATAAAGATTAGCCAATGAACTTGTATCTAGTTATACTTAAACAGCATCAAAACAACAAAATAAAGACATCTGGAAATAAAAAAGGCAAAAAGCTGGAAGAACTTAACAAGGAGAAGGATTCACCTTCAGATTTGTCAAGAGGGAGAGAACGGGGTAAAATATTGCTAATCTTCAAATTTATTTTCTTTTCATGTACTTTCTTCATGGTGAAAACAACAAAGAGAGCCGTAAAGGTTACTACTAGTGTTATCCCCCCAACCAGGAGAACTATTCCACCAGGACCGAGCCTTTTCTTCTCATGCCTGACTATACTACCACGAGAGGGATAATTCTGGATGGCATTTGACTTGGTTGTTGGAGGACCACTGATGTTTTTCACCACTGGTGCTTTTTCCAGGGGGAAATCCCAGGGTGGAGAATTGACTTCTTGACGGAACCTATTTCCCCCAATCCTTAAACAAAGGCGAAGAGAAAACAAATCAGAAACAATCGTTTGAGTAAACTTGATTTTCAGTTTAGGTAAAGAAATCCACCAACAGCTGAAATTTGAAAAGAATACCACAAGTTTGGAATAGTTCTAAAACTTCCGGGAATAATGCCACTAAAATAATTGTCTTGGATGTTCCTGAAAGAAGAGATATGTGAGTGAGTACAAAGGTAGCCAGATGAAGTAAGTCAGAAATTCTACAGAGAGGACGGGGTAGTGGAGAAGAAGGTAAGAGGAAGCCATGGATAACATACAAGTCAATTAATGGAAGGTGAGACAAGTAGGCAACCGATCCAGTGAATTTGTTGTCCTGCAAGAACCTAGTCTTGATAGCATTAATGTGATAAATAGTTGTTCAATTTGTTGAACTAAGAAAGAAGAAGAAATAATCAAGTACAAGAAACTCACAGCCTGGTGATGTTTGTCAGGGAACCGAATGAACTTGGCAAATCACCAGTGAATCCATTATATGACAAGTCCCTGTGAGAATCATTGGTTGAATCTCTTGACAAAAAGGGCTTGTATGTAAAAGTTTAAATACCCAAAAATGTTATGAGTTAATATCTGAATACAAGACCCAACTTGTAGAAAAATCATGAAACTTTATTGTATAGTAAATTAGAAAGATATGTTGTAAGATGCAAATGAGAGGGTGCTTGGTAGATTCTCCCTTCATTTCAGTTCAATTCAAAGGCAGAAATAGCTTTTATAGCGAAGAAGGAAGCGTACATCTCCCTCAAATTCTGTAAACCAGTGAACACATTTCCAATCACACCAGATAGAGTATTATGGCTCAGATTCCTGCATGCAAAAGACTATGGGTAAGAACGAACGACCTTTAAACAGTAATACTACGCATAGTCAAGGATCAACTTACAGATGTCGGAGACTTCCCAAGTTAGATAAAGTATGTGGAATATTTTCGCTCAAATTGTTGAATGCCATATTTCTGCAATAGATCAGGAATTTTACTGAATCTATTAAACGGATGTAACAAACAGAAAAAATAACTCTTTTAATTATACAACAAACATGAATGAAAAAACATCACATTCACATACAACTTACATATGAGTGGCATTAGGGGGCAAGTTGCGAGGAATTCCACCCGTAAGTCTATTGGAACTAACATCCCTAAACAAACAATTAAACAGACTTTTACACACTGAAATTAGCAACAGTGAAAATTGTTCCATTAAAATTAACTTACAGTTGCTTCAAAGTATTAAGACTATTGAGCTGCCCTCCAAGATTCCCAGTGAGGTTCAGTCCATGAAGTTTACTGCAGAAGCAGAGACAGTGATCAGAGTAATATTTCAATCAAAGAAGGAAACATAGCATCAAGCATATGCTTATGGTGTGTAGTTCAGAGAAACAATTATGTGATTACAGGTATATTACAGATGACCCAGAGCAAGAAACTCCAGCCCATGATTCCTCACAAGGATCTCCACCTTCTTTTCTCCATCCTTTAAGCTCTGATGGATAATTCAAAGCACTGTAAAAATCCTGAAGTGCTGTCACTGGTACACAGTATCGATTCTTCAATAACGGATAACAAAATACCTAAAAAGCTTCGGAATGATTCGCCGAAGTAAAGCAAAATTAAAGTTGACTGGAATTCCATAAAGAAGCTGAAGAGAGTTTATATTCAAGAAGTCAAGATGTCACCAGAAATTAATGTCAAGAAACTATGGCCACAAAAATCAATGATCTATTTCAATCTTTTCTTCTAATTCAAAGCTCCAAGAAACTAAAAACATGCCGCATTCAAACAAACAGGTAGTACAGTTACCATCCGGCGGGTTAGTGAACGCCCGAGCCAGCGAAGTCAGGATTGTCGAATAGACAACGACACTAAAATACGCATACAGACGCTGTTGGAGCATTTCTCCCGAAAACCAAAACCATCCAGTTTGATGTTTCTCTGCGAATCGATCGAACACAAATAAAATGTCAAGAACATGCTTGTTGTGTACAAGAAGATTATTAAACCTCATTATAAGAAGCCAAACAGAAAAATTTCATGTAAGAATCAACAAAGACAAAAGAATGTAGTAAACTGAATCGCGAAGCAAAACAGAGGAAGAAAAGTTTACTTCTTACTCCTCTTTCTCTGCAACCAGAAGTCCGAAAAGATGACACCGCCACGCCGAGAAGTTCTTCGGAGGAAATTAGGGTTTGAAAACCGTACCTTCGAGAAAGCAAACGGATGGTCTCACAGAGAGAAAATGGCTCGTACGGACAAGAGTGGAGTGAGAAAAAAAAATGAAAAATGGAAAAATCGCCTGCAATAACGAGTACTATATCCCGGCGATGAAGACGACGAAGTTTTTGCAATGGCGGGAAATTTGATGAGCTGGCGTCCACGTCCGCTGAAACGGTTAGGCGGTTGGATTTTTTTTATTTTTTTATTACAAGCTCTTCCAAACTCTAGATTCAAATTTATAAATTTTTTGATACGGACCGTTTGTTTTTTTGGAAATATCTCATATGCCCGAAATTTTAGATGTTTGGAATTTCAAATAACTACGTTTCTTATAACGATATATGGGAATATTGTAAATTTATGTAATGTTCCAAAAATGCCGTTAGCGATCGTCATATAATTTATATATTAAATTTAATATTATTTGAATTTATATAAAAATTGTACTTCTATTAATTTAATAATATATTTTTATGTCAATTTTAGTTTATGTTTGGTGACTATTAAAAGAGTAAAATAAAGGAAAGATGGCACCCTACATTTGAATTAAAAATAAATTAAGATATTATACCATCCACCAGTGTTTATTTTTTATATCTAAATGTAGCATATAAATAGAATTATATTTAGACATTTATCAATGAATCAGCGCATACATTTATATTAAAAATAAGATAAAATAAATGAGAAATAAATATTATTGATGAAAAAAAATTATAGAACAAAAACGATGAGGGATAAAATTGTCAAAAGAAGATGTCCTCAACACGGAAATCTTAGAAACTCATGTTACATCCTCCCATATAGGCATCAAAGAATTCTCAGGAATCCAACATTCCTATCAAACAAATACAAACATCTGGATGACCATTCCATGAAACAAACGGTCTCTATAAGTTGTTTTACGGGTGTCAAAGTGAGCATAGTTTAGCCGTAATTGACATATATCTGTAATCAAGAAGTTGTGAGTTCGATCCTCCACCTCATATATTGTACTAAAAAAACTTCTTTATCAGTTGAGCTAAGTTTAGGTTTGGTAATTTAGAATGTTATAGGCATAATAATGAAAAGTTATATGTCATACAAACAAATTAACGGTCATGAAAATAAAATTTTATTTCTTTCATTTTAGTTTAAAATATAGGGTGTAATGTTGACGTATTGAGCTTAATTATTGATATAACAACTCCAATATAATTTAGTAGTTAAGACTATTATGAAAAGGGAGATGTGAATCTATAGATAATACTTTAAAAGTGGTTAATAATTTAATATACAGGAATCAAAATAATTCAAAACTAAAAATATAGGATCAAAATAGTATTTAAATCTATATATTTTTATGAGGCAAGTTGATCTTACACCACCTTTTTAAATATGTTTTAAKTTTTTTTCTTCCTTGAATTTTCTAGATTTAGTATATTTTGTTAAACGAATTTTCAAACTTGGACAAAATACATTTTTTAGTTTCTATGATTTGAAATAGGTGTAAAGTTGATCCTAAAGTCTTAAAATAGACAATGATCTCTGARTTTGAGAAATGGTTCTAAATATGATCTGTGAGATACTTTAATCGTTAATTGACCAACCTTCAAATAAGTTATAGACTGTACTAGTAAAATATAATAATATTTATTTGGTGATAGGACTCTCCATCCTTCCCACTTCATTAATTTATTTTCATTATGTTTTTGTCCTAAAAGATTGAATTATGGGTTAGAAAATTGATTTTGAAGGAGCGTTAGACTACGTTTGATTTGTGATTTGAATTATATTTTAGCTTCATATTTAAAATAATGATAGACGTAAAATAGTTATAATAAATTATTTATGTTTGATATTATATGATATTTTCGCTAATAATAATTGATATATATCAACATAAACTGTGTAAAGTCTTTTAGTCCAAAAAAAAAAAACTGTGTAAAGTATTAAAAGAAAATTTATGGTTTCACTCACAGAATCCGTATAAATTTTTCTACTTGGGTTTACCATTTGTAATTCATTGCCAATTATGTCTTTTTAAATGGACTGTATCTTCTTTTTAAGCCAGAGTTTTGTTGATTTTCACAAATTTTTAGGTTGAAAAATGGAAACCAAACCTGAAATTATAATTGGGACTATATAATAAATGTAATACTTGCATTTTATTAATAAATCAATAATGTCATAAATCATAATCATTAATAAAAAAAAAACCCCACTAAAATAAAATTTAAACAATGTAGTATAATTTTAGGAGGATGTCGTGGATGAGCCACTGTGTCATGAATTTGTAAGCCTTTTGCGTCAAATGGATTCCATCCCAACTTATATGTTCATTAGGGTTTGGGCAAACTGGTACATCCGGAAGTCTCCATATCTTCATGAGGTTAAAGTTGTAGTTGCCTCCAATCCCGCAACATGATTTTTGTAATGAAGCTTCATCAAAACCTGCTCATATAAAGATGGATATGCAACATCATTGATAATTGATAAACTTAATGCTAAATCTTAAGATCTAATATTATTTTGTAAAATGTATAGAATAGCATACCGAGCACAAAAGCATGACGAAGGATCCAAAGCAATGCATTATAGTAGTCACCATATACGATAATGGTACGCGGATTCTTCCTTTTTAATTAATACTTCAATGGCTTGCTTGATTTGATCATTGTGATAACTCGCCAAACTATTCAAACCCTTTAAACAATAAAGTTTGTCATAAGCACTTGTATCATTAGTTTGGAATCCAGTGAGATAGATGGGTAAAACATGGGAACAATAATCCGAGTAGCACCATAACTTATCACATTGTGCAAACATCATCATAAAAAAATATATATAGTGATCAGTGGAAAAAACTCAAATCCACATAGCTTGTGAAAAGTATCTAAATATAAATTACCTCAACAGCATTTTTTATGGTTTCAACAACATTTGGCACCATGTATTTCACCTCTTGTATAGTTTTACCTTGGAACAGTGCATAATTATAGTCATTCCCACCAATCTCACCAACCAAAGAACAAAGCACTTCTTAATTTCTCGATGCAATCTATCAGATATAAATACCAAAAAGTAAAATAAAATAAATAAATCAACATGTATAATTAAAGAAAAAAATAGGTTAATTAAATGAATTACCTCTTTCATCACAACAAATGGAGTTAAAATGAGAAAACATCCAATCAAGTTGATGGTTGAGAGAAGGGAGTGTTCGGATTTTCACGAATCAGATTTCTAGCGTATATTGCATCGAACATACAAGCCTCGGCCGTGGAAGAAGAGGAAGAAGAAGAAGAAGAGAGAAAGATGATCTTGTACTTGAAGTCGCCATTGTTGCAGAAAAGAGAGAGCTTGGTGCTAAAAGTATGGACTCGTAGGAAAAATTTGTGAATGAGTGAAGAATGGAATAATTGTGAGGCCTTATTTATAGGTTTTGATTTCTTCCCATTCTGGTGGGATAAAAGAAATTTGGTTTTGAATTTCCTAATCCTCCTCGGAATGGGAATTTCTTCTGCCATTTTTAAAGCAAAATAAAGATATTATTTTTTAAATAAAGATAAAACTTAAATAATTATTTTCTTAGAGTGAGCATGTAATAGATATTTTTGAGAAAATATAGTCTAAGGCCAAATTTTTTTATGTTGAACTTTAATATATAATTACCTTTAATTATATTTAATTTAAAAAATTAGGAGTCGTTAAATTTTAAAAGTTTATAATTTTAATATATATATATTACTGTAAAGATTATTTCATGGCCTCTAAGTGATTAATTTCAATACAACAAAATGCGGTGATAGATTAAAATTCAACTTCGAAGAAATGAGCCAGTGATTTAATTAATGTTCATTTAATTAATATTTTATAACATGCATTTTTTAGTTATAGTTAAAATTAGTTTAAAATGTTATTAAAATTTTAGATAAATTACATTTTTAATCCATGAGATTTGAGTTAAGATTCTATTTGGTCCTTAGATTTCAAAATCTAACAATTTCGTCATTAATGTTTTGAAAATGATTCTAGATGGTACTTGGAGCTAAATTACCACTATTTTTTGTGCAGTTGAAAATATGGAAAAAAAATATTTAGTAAAATAAGCAAAATAGCAGCCAAATCTAGTTTTGTCAAATATAGCATTTTTTCCAACATAAAATTGAGATCTAATTCAATATATCTGCAATATATCTTACTAGTGATATATGCCTCTAATATACCACTGATATAATAATGATATATAATTGATTTACTTGTAACTAGTGATGAACTTGTACCACTGATATACGTATGATAATCATTGATTTACCACGTCGATACAACATTTATATATCTATGATATATACTTGATATGTCTCTAATTTAACATTGATATACAAATAATATACCACTTATAATAACTGTGATATCTACTAATATAACTTCTTATATATGATTATATGATTTACCACTAATATAACACTGATAGATATTTGATATATACTTAATATACTATTGATATACCTCTAATATAATCATGATATCCACTAATATAATTATAATACTTGTGTGTTGGTATAATATTTTTTCATATGAAAACAATGGTGCAAAAAAAATTGAAATATAAAAGTAATCGTATAAAAGGTTTACGTGGATCATGTACGTCCAAAAAAAAAAGTTAAAAATCTGATATACTTTATAAATTTAAATCGTTTATATCACTTATATTTAGTATCTAATTAATATTAATATAGAATAAATAGTAGCGATATAGTAACCCATATTATTGATAATATTAGTATATCAACCAACAAATTGCAACGATAAACTAGAATTTAAACAACCGATATACCTTATAGTTAGTATATAAATTGCAAATATATTTAGTATATCATAAATTTAAGGTACATCAGATAGATAGATATAAATAGATAATACATACATCTAATAATGTATATCATGGGTACATATGATAAGGTATTATCAGTAGTACATCAAATGTATATCTGGAGTATATCAGAGGTACATCAAATGTTATCAGATATAGATTGAATGTACATCAGATACAAATATACA